TGTGGATGCTCTTAGAGCACCCACAATGCTTTGGGTTTCTTAGAAAAAAGTTACATGCCATGTAAGGAATAGACCTAGTCTATAAAAAAAGTGTTCTCCAATGCAATTAAAAGTGGAACTAGTCTAGCTTATGTGGCAATAAAAAAATGAGACCTAGTCCACACTTGGGTCTATTTTAGACCCAAGTACAAACCCAAGCACTCATCATTTATTCCTCATTTAATTTTTCTTTTAATAAATGAAATATACTAGAGCATTTTTATTGGTTGTCATGTATTCTAGACCTAGTACTTTTTTGTTTTGCATTGGATAGATTTTGGTTTTTTTAGTTTAGGTTTGTCCATGTCATTATGGACTTAAGTCTATTTATTTGCCACATATGCAAAAAGAGACCCAAAGCATTGTGGATGCTCTAATACAAGGCAAACAAAATTTTCCAAAAAGTTAGGCAGATTATTTATTTATTTAATTGTTGCATCCACAACATCTTTGCAGTGTCACCATCATAATAAAAATGAAAAGCAGCAAGCAAATAAAAATCTGTGGGTCACGGCAAAAGAAAGCCACTCGTGTATTATCACATGAATATAGCTCAAATGCAGGCGGTACATTTTTCGCATCAGAAAAATCAGTTGAAACAGACACACAGCTTGTGCAGAAAAATGACACGCGGTAAAACTTGTGCTGGCTTACCTAATACGAAAATCGGTTTACGACATTTCTTCAAAACACTTGCGAATGTGTCAAAATTGACGGTAGAGATTCGCTTCACGCCATTACATCTAAGAAGGAGAACATATGAACGCGTTCCAAAGAGAACCATTTGAATAAGCAAAAGCGACTAGTTTGATTTTTAGCACTTTTTTCTTCTCTCTGTTTCGAACTGGAGCCCGCCAAAATTTGTCCTCGAGCGTGAGTTTTATCTTCATAAAAGAACTCGTCTTGCTGCAGCCTTCATCCTTCCCTACACATCTATTTATCCATTTTTTTCCCATCAACGAAAAAACAGAAGTAGAAAAAACGAGAAAAAAAAAATATGGCCTTAACACTTCGTTCTTCGACTTCATTCATCAATCTAAGAGACAGCAGAACAAGTTCCAAAACTCCTGATGATTTTGATTTTCCCAGCACGGTTACCTTAACACAAATAATCAAGCCATCTTCCCATCTGCTGCGCGCAAAGAACTCGCCACAAGAAGCTCCAATCTTTCAGCCGGAAAAAACGATATCCGAAAGGAGAGAGAAACTTCACGCCATGTCAGCACCCCACGGGGCCCACAAAAATAATACCCAAAACACGAGGGTGCCCGTTTTCGTGATGCTTCCCCTCGACACGATCTCCATAGCCGGGAATCTGAACAAACCAAAGGCCATGCTAGCTAGCTTGATGGCCCTGAAAGGCGCTGGAGTCGAAGGAGTTATGGTAGACGCGTGGTGGGGACTGGTCGAGAAAATCGGGCCCGGAAAGTACAACTGGGAAGGCTATGCCGAGCTGGTGAGAATGGTCGAGAGGCTCGGTTTGAAGCTTCAAGTCGTCATGTCCTTTCATCAGTGTGGAGGCAATGTTGGGGACAATTGCAGGTAATTGATTCATAAAAGGGTCATCTATTATCTTAATCCAAATGATCAAGTTGGTGGATGAGAATTGACAAATTAACAAAATGTGCTAATGATGAATTAATAACAATAATAATAATATGGTGTGTTCTTATGGTTTTTGGCAGTATTCCCCTGCCTCCATGGGTTCTTGAGGAGATAAGCAAGAACCCGGATCTTGTGTATACAGATAAATCGGGCCGGCGTAACCCGGAGTATATATCGTTGGGCACCGACTCGTTGCCTGTTCTAAGAGGTAGAACACCGATTCAGGTCTATTCCGACTACATGAGGAGCTTTAGGGAGAGATTTCGTGACTACTTGGGACATGTTATTGTGGTACGTTCGACTTCTATTTCTACGGACGAAGCTCATAAAACAATTTACGAAAGCTAGAACCGCCAAGTAATAAGAAATAGTGATGATTAAATCTGAAGCTACTCTATACAAAACTACTTAGTAAAAATGTTAAATTTCTTAAAAGATTACAATAACAATTAGCACTAGTGAGCAAAGGAGAAGAAGGTACAAGATAGTAATTAGCTTGATCAGCAGAAAGAATGAAGAATTATTACCTTCGAATTATGTCGACCAGCACTCTAGTTTACGAGCGAGCATGTTCCGAAATCAAACCTCTAAAGACACCATAGCAGCTTTAGTTATGTTTCTTCCTCTAACTGCAGGAGATTCAAGTTGGGATGGGACCTTGTGGGGAGCTCAGATACCCGTCATACCCCGAAAGCAACGGAACCTGGAAATTCCCCGGCATCGGAGAATTCCAATGCTACGACAAGGTAACATAACATACAAAACATTAATCAGACAAAAACACAAACAAACAGAGTTCCAATAAAATATTAATACAATAATTTTCAGTACATGCGGGCTTCGCTGGCAGCTGCCGCGTCAGCAATCGGGCGGGACGAGTGGGGCCTGCGCGGGCCCCACGACTCGGGCGGCTACAACAATTCTCCCGAGGACACCGGTTTTTTCCGGCATGACGGCACCTGGGGCAGCGACTACGGCCACTTCTTCCTCGACTGGTACTCCCGAAGCCTGCTCGAGCACGGGGAGCGCGTGCTCGAGCCGGCGGGGCAAATATTCCGAGGCACTGGTGCAAAGCTTTCGGGAAAAGTCGCGGGCGTCCACTGGCACTACCGGACAAGGTCCCACGCGGCCGAGCTCACGGCCGGTTACTATAATGCGCGGGGCCGAGACGGTTACCTCCCGATCGCACGCGTGCTGGCCCGGCACGGGGCTGTCC